CAGCCGGTCCGTGATTCTCTCTCCTCATGGGTGTTTCTCTCTCCTTCTCCCTTCTTCTATGAAATAAATAAAAATACGTTAAAAAAAAAGAAGAAGAAAGAAAATGAGCTTCTGTGAGGCCCCCCCCCCCCAGTCACGTCCGTGCCCCAAACAAAAACCCATGACCACAGTTTACGCTGCTCCTTCAACCAGAGGCGAGAGGAGGCCCCCGGCCAGGCCTCCCAGCCTCCGCAGGTGCCACGCACAGCACCGCCACGCCTGCTTCCTGACGCCTACACGGGATCCATGTCCAGGCACACGGGATCCACACGCAGTCACACGGGATCCACAAGCAGCCACACAGGATCCACGTCCAGTCACATGGGGACCCATGCACAGACTCATGGGATCCACGTGAGGTCACACAGGATCCATATGCAGTCTCACATGGGATCAATACACAGTCTCACACGGTATCCACACGCAGTCACACAGGATCCACATGCAATCACACTGGTGTCCACAGGGTGATCCATGTGTACTCACATGGGATCCACACACAATTATATGGGGATCTACGTGCAGTCAAACAGGGATCCTCACAAATCACACAGGGATCCACACTCAGTTACACAGGGATCCACACACAGCCACACGGATCCACACACAGTCTCACAGGATCCACACACATCCACACGTGATCCACGTCCAGTCACACAGGGATCCACGCACATCCACACGGGATCCACACACAGTCACAGGGGATCCACACACAGTCACAGGGGATCCACGCTCAGTCACACACGATCCACGCACAGTTACACAGGGATCCACACACAGTCGGGATCCATGCGCAGTTACACGTGATCCACACACAGCCACACGTGATCCATGTCCAGTCACATGGGATCCACGCACAGTCTCACAGGATCCACATACAGCCACGCATGATCTACACACAGTCACATGCGATCCACACACGGTCGCATGAGAATGCACACACAGTCACACAGGATCTGTGAGCAGCCACACGGGATCCACGCACAGTCACACGGGATCCACGCACAGTCACACCGGATCCCCGCACAGTCACATGAGATCCATGCGCATCCAAACGGGATCCACAAGTGGCCACACAGGATCCACGCACAGTCACACCGGATCCACGCACAGTCACATGAGATCCATGCACATCCAAACGGGATCCACAAGTGGCCACACGCGATCCACGCACAGTCACGCGGCACTCACTCACGCACAGCCACACGGGATCCACACGCAGCCACACGGCATGCCACGGGCGGGCTTTCCACGTCTCCCCGCGGTCTGTGCTCCCTGACGTGCACGTCACTGGGACCGCAGCCCGCACACATGCCCGGCCCCGCGTCCGCACCTGAGGGTCTCGTTGCCATAGCAGCCAGGGTCGCCGATGCCCAGGTCGTCGGCCACGATCAGGACGAAGTTGGGCTTCGGGGGCGGCTGGCCCCGGGCCCCCCACAGGACCAGCAGCAGGAGCAGCGGCCGCCTCATCCTCCTGCAAGGTCAAGGTCAAGGTCACGGTGCTGGGCCCGCCCCTCCCTCCCTCCCCTCTCAGGTGTGCGGCCAGGACCCCGAATCCGGGGACCAGCTCTTCCCTTCCCTTCCCTTCCCTTCCCTTCCCTTCCCTTCCCTTCTTGTCTCTCTCTCTCTCTCTTCTTTCTTTCTTTCCCTTTCTTCTTTCGCCTTCTTCTCTCCTTTCTTTCTTCTTTCTGTTCTTTTCTCTTTCTTTCTTTCTTTTTTTCTTTCTTTTTTCTTCTTTCTCTCTGCTCCTGTCTCTGTCTCTGTCTCTCTCCTCTTCTCTTTTCTTTCTTCTTTCTTTCTTTCTTTCTTTCTTTCTTTCTTCCTTCCTTCCTTCCTCCTTCCTTCCTTCCTTCCTTCTTCCTTTTTTCCTTTCCTCCTTCCTTCCTTCCTTCTTCCTTCCTTCCTTCTTCCTTCCTTCCTCCTTCTTACATTTCCTGCCTTCCTTCCTTCCTTTCTTTCCCTCCCTCCCTCCCTTCCTTCCTTCCTTCCTTCCTTCCTTCCTTCCTTCCTTCCTTCCTTCCTTCCTTCTAAAATATATTTTATTGTTTTCAGAGAGGAAAGGAGAGGGAGAGAGAGAGACAGAAACACCCACGAGGAGAGAGAATCACGGACCGGCTGCCTCCTGCACGCCCCCCACTGGGGATGTACCCACCACCAAGGTCCATGCCCCTGACTGGGAATCGAACCCGGGACCCTTCAGTCTGCAGGCCGAGGCTCTACCCACTGGGCCACACCGGCCAGGGCCATAAAGACCTTTTTTTTTTTTTTTTTTTTTAAGGATGCAAACAGAGTCCCTTCCGTTTCCGCTTTTCCCACCCCACAGAAATGTGCCTTTCCCACCACCCCCCAGGCTAGGACAAGCTCAAAAAAACACATCCCTCCCTTCTCCTGCCCCCACCACTCAGTCCTTAAAAAAACTCCCAAAAAACCCAATAAATTATGTTTCGGAAAGAGGCCGAGG